TCCGTCCTTCCTTCTCTTCCACTCTCTCTAAAAAGCATTGGAAAAAATATCTTTGGGTGAGGAGTAACAACAGCAACAAAAAAAGTGAATCGCCTTAAGATACTGACAGTCACTGGTCAGAAAACACCTTTTTGACACATTAAAGAATGGACTCTTCAGCATGAGTAGGGTTATTAATTAGGGGGGATAATTAGGCAACAATATACAGAGATGCGAAGATTGACAAAGATAATATTTCTCTCCCTTACAAATATCAGTCTTCTGTATTGAGTTACGCAGGAAAAATGTGCCGGTAAGTAAGCTGCTGTTAATTTGTATTAAAGAATCTCAGCAGCTTCCAGTTATGCATGATTTTGGATAAGTAGGTGATCAAAAGATCTTCTGTATTTTAAGAGTATTGAGATGATTTTCTATATATAGGCAAAGAGCAGATGAATTCCATAGAAGGTAACTAACTATAAATGTATTATACATGACTGAAAGTAATGGCAAGCAAGACTTCAGAGCTGAGCTATCTTGATATTTTTATCCAGTGTGTGGGGTGTTAAACATGCATCACACAGCTATAATAGAGCTATCACATGGATCTTGGGGAAAGCAAGATAGAGATGGTTTAAAAGCTTCTGTGCTTGATTTCTTAGTCAGATGCTGCATTATTTGGCATTAGACAACTAAAGTCAGAATCTAGGTATTGAAAGGTGAATTATTTTAAATTACTGAATTGTAATAGAGAAGTAATTTATTTAACATTTTTTCAGGAAATGGAAGATAAAGTGACTAATCCAGAGAAAGCTGAAGAAGCAAAATTAAAAGCAAGGTATCCTCACCTGGGACAAAAGCCTGGCGGTTCAGATTTCTTAAGGAAACGATTGCAGAAAGGGGTAAGTTCTTATGCGTAGTCTTCAAATATTTAAGCTCTATAAACTCAGTGTGCCAGTAGGGCTTGTGAAATGGGTATCTGCTGCGTATATAGTTTTTGTGTGTGTGTGTGTGTGTGTGTGTGTGTGTGTGTGTGTGTGTGTGTGTAACCCCCACGCGCCCCTCCCCCCCCAATATTTTAGACTATTCATTCTGTGGTAATGGTAAGAATTAAGAATCCAGGACTCTATCACTTTTACCTACAAAGTATTTCAAGCATGTAGAAAGGTACAGATAATATAATAGAACCCAGGTACCCACCATGCACATTTAACATGTTTATATATCTTGCCATATTTGCATAAGTTTTATCTTTGTAAAAAAGAAAATGTAGATATAGTTAAAACCTACCACATGTATTTGTGTGTATCACCTTTCACGTTTCTCTTCAAAAGCAACCACTATCCAGAATCTGGTATTTATTCTTCTGCCTGTGGTTGGTGGTTTCAACTTTCAGCTATTTTAAAGGTGATTTCCACCTAATCAAAGGCTTAAAATACTTTTTATTTAGATGGAATGATCACTCATAAAATCATAGCTTACTATTTCTTTTACATAATACATTTCACAGTCACTCTGATAAAATTTAATCGTAATTTTAGTAGTTCAAATTACTGAGTATTTCAAAATCTTACCATACTTTATGAGGTAGAAACCACTGTTTCTCAATAATGAGATCTGAATTGAGATAATATAACATGTTTGTTCCTTAAGTTTTTCTTTTTTTCTTTTCTACCTCCTTCCTTTATAAAAAATTTAAGGGCTACATCTTCAGTCTAAGCACATTTAAATTATTCACCATACAGAGAGCAGGGAAGAATGAAATATTGTTTATGGAAGAGAATTGTTTATTGAATCAGAGGCCAAATCATGTTTCTCCCCAAATGAATACCTTAAATATACTGGTATCCCACCCTGGCTGGGTATCTAAGTTGGTTAGAGCGTTGTCCCTATATATGAAGGTTGAGGGTTTGATCCCCAGTCAGGGCACATTGAAGAAACAACCAATGAATGCATAAATAAGTGGAACAACAAATCCATGTTTCTCTGTCTTTCTCCTCCTGTCTCTCTCCCTGCACGTCTTTCCCTCTCCCCCTGTCCTTTTCTCTCTAAAATCAATACATAAAATTTTTAAAAAAATTCTTGTATCTGCAGCTGGATTACAAAAAGATTGTATGTTTATATATGTATATTAGCTATAGTTGTATATGGGTTATTTTTTCAAATCAGATTCCAAAAGGGTATTTTTCCAGCTTTATTGAGATATAATTGACACACAATGTTGTGTAAGTTTAAGGTTTACAATGAGATGACTTGATATATGTATACGTATTGTGAAATGCTTACCACAATAAGTTAACATATCCTTTACCTCACATAATTGTTTTTTGTTATGGTGAGAACATTAAAGCCTTATTCTTATTAGCACCTTTCAAGTGTACAATACAGTATTGCTAACTATAGTCACCATACTGCACATTAGATCCCTGGAACTTATTTATTCATCTTATAATTGAAAGTTTGTATCCTTTGACCAGCATCTCCCCATTTCCCCACCCCATAGCCCCTGGCAACCACTGTGTTTCTATGAGTTTTACGTTTTTAGATTCCACATATAAGTGAGATCATGTGTTTTTCTACCAAAAGAATATTTTAACAAATTATTTTAGTTTAACAAATTATTTTTAAAAGCAGCAAGATATAAAATGGTATTTTTCTTTTTTTATCCTCATCTGAGGATATTTTTCCCATTTATTTATTTATTCATTCATTCATTTATTTTAGAGAGAGCGGAAGGGGGAGGGAGAGGGAGAGAGAAACACTGATGAGAGAGGGAAACATCGATTGGCTGCCTCCCAAACATATTCTGACTTGGGCTGGAAATTGAACCCGAAACTTAGGTATGTGCCCTGACTAGTAATCGAATCTGCAACCTTTCTGTGTATGGGAAGACATTCCAGCCCACTGAGCCACACCAGCCAGAGCTTTTTCTTTTTTTTAATGTCAGTATTTTATTTGTAGCCAAAACAGAATTTATTATCTTTTTTAACTTTCCTGGCTTTAAAGAAGCTAACTTATTAGTAATAGTTTAATAGTATTTTTCTTATTTTACATAAAAGAATAACATTCACAGTTTTGAAATAAGAGGATGACAGGGAAGAGTTATAGCAAATATATAAAAACGTAAAACTTCTGTTCCATAAGTAATTTAATGAGGCATTTATTACAAAAATGATAGTTAATATCTGTAATACATAAAGAGATCTTTCAAATATTCAAGAAAAACATTAAGGAGCTAAAGTAAGGATTTTAATACGAAATACAGATATTAAGCACTGAGAAAAATACTTATTCACAGTAGAAATCAAAGAAATGTAAATAAGAACAATCATATCACAGCATACATGCAACTAAGTTGGGAAAATATTTAAAATATAAAATAATACCCACTGGTGAGGGTTAAGTTGAATGTTGCTAATACGCTTTTTGCTGTATTACTATTGCTTTGGAAAGGGGTTTGGATCAAGTATTATAAAGATGTTCCTATTCTTTGAGTGACTAATTAATTGTGAATCCAAGGGTATAATTCAATATAAGGAAAAAGTCTTTAAGTTTGAAGATATTCTTTGCTGCTTTAACTATAATTAGAAGCAGCACCACTATTGACTAGCAGAGAGAGAGTGTTAAATTGTGATAAGTCAACAAAATGGTATCTTGCAGTTAGTGTTGTAGGTGTAAATATTGCAAATGAGATTCCACTGAATTAAGAAATAAGTGTGCAGAATCTTTGTGTTAAAAAAGTTGATTTTTTTTTTTTTAAAGAAGTCTGAATCACAGAGTCCTGGGTTTTAGTTTTTCTCTGTCATAATAACAAGCTGGCAAATTACACTGTACCTTTAAGTAGTTTGTTCTCTTTTTTTTTTTTTAATTATATCTTTATTGATTTTAGAGGGAGGAAGGAGAAGAAGAGAGATAGGAACATCAATGACGAGAGAGTCATTGATTGGCTGCCTCCTGCATGGCCGGCACTGGGGATCGAGCCCGCAACTCAGGCATGTGCCCTGACTGGGAATCGAACCTCGCTCTCCTGGATCCTAGGTTAATGCTCAACCACTTAGCCACACCGGCTGGGCAAATAGTTTGTTCTTAATTTGAGAGGATTGGGTAGATGTTATTTATATGAGGCTCCTTTCTGTTTCACTGTACTTGTTGTTGTGAGATGTCAAGGATTGATACCTATTTAGGCTTTTAACAAGATGATGTTTACATAATGACTATATAGACTGTCAGAGTTGTGTGGGATGTCAAGAACTAGTCTTCTGATCCATGGGTTTTTTTTTTATTTGGGGAGTTTGTGATGTCCCGTTTTTTAAGAAACATGGTCTTAAAACTGTCACTCATGTGATAACTTAGTGTCAGTGCAATTATAGGTACTGATGTAGGTGTGGACCCTAAATTTGGGTTGGAGGAGGCTTTTGTAAGATTGTCATTCAGATGATCCAGGTATGTTCTGTTAATTTTTATTTTTTATTATTATTTAAAAAATATATCTTTATTGATTTCAGAGAGAGGAAAGGAGAGGGAGGGAGAGAGATAGAAACACCAGTGATGAGAGAGTCATTGATTGGCTGCAGCCAGCAACCCGGGCATGTGCCCTGACTGGGAACCGAACCCCGATTGCCTGGATCCTAGGTCAGTGCTCAACTGCTGAGCCATGCCCGGCCGGGCTCTGTTAATTTTTAAAGATTTTCACTTAAAAAAACACAAAACTTAAAAATTGATGAAGATGACTAATGTTGCCTCTTCAGGCTGTATCTGTCCAAATAAGAGAAACATTGATCTAGTTAACCCTTCTACCTAGAGCAGTTATAATTGTTAAGTACTGGTTTTAGTTTTGCCTTGTAGCCACACAAAAAATATATATATATTTTAATCCTCACTAGAGGATAGTTTTTTCATTGCTTTTCAGAGTGGAAGGGAGGGAGGGAGAGTGAAACATTGATGTAAGAGAGACATATCAACCGGTTGCCTCCTGCATGTGCCTTGACAAGGGGTGGGGAGTGAACCCACAACCCTGGTACGTGCCCTTGATCAGGAATTGAGCCCTCGACCCTTTTGTACATGGACTGGTGCTCTAACCATGGAGCCACACAGTCCAGGGCATCATTACCTTAGTATTTATTTACTTATATATATAAAAAATATGTTTTTATTGATTTCAGAGAGGAGAAGGGAGAGAAAAAGAGCGATGGAAACATCAATGATGAGAGCCATTGATCGGCTGCCTCCTGCATGCCCCCTACTGGGGATCAAGCCCGCAACCCCGACATGTGCCCTGAATGGGAATTGAACCATGACCTCCAGGTTCATAGGTCGATGCTCAACCACTGAGCCACGCCAGCTAAGCAGTATTTATATTTTAACCATAACTTTTTATTTTCGTGAACTACTCTGGTTCAAGTAAATTATTTAAATCCTTACAGAAATGCTTGTCCTAGATAACAGTACAGGCAATTATAAATAATAGTTTTAATAACTATAAGGTTGATTGAAAGTGGGTGGCACATCTTAAACTCATGTAGGTGAATCTATGTATTTTATTTTCAAAACCATTTAAGCAAGAATTATCAGCTTGCTTTTTTCCATTAGTAAATGAAAGGTTTGCATTTCACTCTTTAAGTCCAGGACTTTTGTTCCTGGATGGATTGATACGGAAGCTGGTGTCAATCTTGAGGGTTCTGTACTTAAACCAATGTGATAAAAGTAAGCCTGAAGAAAGGGTTGTTGCCTGACTTCTTAGTTGCTTACTTTTGCTGAAACTCAGCAGAGACATAGCTGTTTCATTTTATTTTTGTTTAAATTTTGTTAGAATAACTTACTTTATACTGACAATGTAGGGTCATGTATACATTTTAGACCAGTGTAATTGCATATGAAAGCTTTTAAATTCTCTGAAATTTTTTTTTTCTTGTAGCAAAAGTATTTTGATTCTGGGGATTACAACATGGCTAAAGCAAAAATGAAGAACAAGCAACTTCCTACTGCAGCCCCGGATAAGACAGAGGTCACTGGTGACCACATTCCCACTCCACAGGACCTTCCTCAGCGGAAACCGTCCCTTGTTGCTAGCAAGCTGGCTGGCTGATTAAAAGAGCTGAACTGCATGAATCCTCTAATTCCCATTGTTTTTCCTTAATATGTTACTCCCCCGCTTTTTATTTCCTTTCACTCACTAAGTCATTTGAGAGTGACAGCTTTGCAGGTAGTGGTAGTGTGTGCTGCTATTGTAAGGGAAGATACATGTGTAGAGTTTTTGATTAGTTGAACAGTGCACTGATGAAGAGAACATGTTAGAGCAACATAAAGTAATCTACTTGAAAATAATTGTATATATTACCTAACTCCTAGTGTAGGACTGGTCCTAACAGCTACCAAGCAAGTTTTACAATTTTAATGTTTTGGCTTTCTTTAATTCATCCTAATTATAGCTTTGTGTATTACTCTTATTTAATTAACCTGTATTGTATTGATTTCTTCTGTATCTTCCTTTTGGATTTTATCAACAGACGTTTAAGACCACAAGTTGGAAGAAAAGTCACATATTTCAAACACAAATAGATGGGGCTCCAAAAGATATGTATTTCTGTGCTTGAGCTTGAATGGCCTTAAACCTGTTTCAGCTTTAACAATAGAAGTTTACTTGGGCAATATTTGCCCATTCTGGTGTAACTTATGTGACGCTCGTGCTTAACAACTGCTGTTGAAGCTAATATTCTTACTCAGTTCTATAGTTAGAATACCTTTTGTTGTTAAAGATATGAATGAAGTATGCATGTGCATCGACTGTTGAATTCACTTTTGTGCCATTTTTGTAAATACAATAGTTTTGCACAACCTCTCACAAATGTCTGTATTAATTTCATATATTAAAAAGTTGATGATGTGCCAACCAGAAGCACAAAAGTTCCTACACAAAACTCTTTATGTCATTAGAGCTTTTGTATGGTAAGAGTAGTTTACAGTCCTGGGCTTATGGAATACCAAACTGACATCTTTGCTCAGTCTGCCATAGATTAAGCTTTTTCATTTGTTACTAATATCCATTACATTCAGTGGCCTTGTGCAAATATGATATGTTGCTTAGGCATATCTTTTGTCCTATGCAGAACATTTCATTTTGACCTCTATGAGAATTGCAATTCATGTAATTTATATAAACTTTTTAAATGTAGAAACTTTTTACTTCCACAGTCCATTTTGGGGACACTAGAATAAAAGGCTTCAATGCTCTGCCTCCTGTGGCCCCTCCCTCCTTTTTTTCTTGCTTCTTTGACTCAAATCATGTTGGGCTGTGCTGTTCAGTCTATTTGGAAGCATAGGTGTCTGTATCCTTACTCTTGAAATTTGCTCTGCTCAGTGCGGTATTTTATAATGATGTTTTCCTTGTAACTTTTCAGTTAACCATTCTAACTCCTGTGTTATTAATATTTGACAGTTGTTTAAATAAAAGGAACTTTATAATGAAACATACTTGAGAAGACTGGCCCAGGAACCTATGTCAGGATGAGCTGAACTCTGATACATAATTTTAAGAAATTCTGATGAGCTAAGTGAATTAGGCTAATGACAGAGTAATTTACATGATAGGTGGAACATACTCATACTAAAATACTTAGATATTTCTATAGATGTTACTTTAATAAAATATCAATTTATTTTACTTGTTTTTTTAACCTAGTTAGTAAGAACTTTAACAGACTTTATTGGGACAAATTTACTGCTCTTTTTGGAGCTCTTCCCATAAGTCAGTGTAAAGCTGTAGTGTGATGGTGAGGATCAGTAATCTGAAAGGATACTGTTCTTCTCATCCTTGACATGCACAGGGCCTCCCTTCTTTTGGATCCAGACATCTTTTCTGGGTCTTGGCTCCATTTGTATACCTGCTTTCCTATGACCCTAAATCGTTGTAGATGGTGCCTTGAGTATAGCACCTGCACTTAAAGACAGCCTAATGCTCTGAGGAAAGCTCACTGATTATCTTTCTGCTGTACCCACCCCCAAAAGCAGAGAAGAACAGAACCAGTAATGTGCTAATCTGTAATTTAAAGAAATAGGAACAAGTAGAGTGNGAAAGCTCACTGATTATCTTTCTGCTGTACCCACCCCCAAAAGCAGAGAACAGAATCAGTAATGTGCTAATCTGTAATTTAAAGAAATAGGAACAAGTAGAGTATTCCACAATAGGTATAATTGTAGAATCGATTTAAGAATTACACAATAGTGCTTGCTTTGGCACACGTACTAAAATTGGAACGATACAGAGATTAGCATGGTCCCTGTGCAAGGATGACGCAGATTCATGAAGCACTCCATACTTGAAAAGAAAAAAGAATTACAGAATATCCCAAAGTAGAATTTCTGCAATATCGAGTGTTTTTAAATGACTATATGTGCAAGCTATCACCTTTAAATCTACACACCAGAGAAGATTAATCTGAAATACCAGAGACCATGTTATTCTTGATCATGATAGGACTCCTGCTGTGGTTTGCAACAAGTGATGTAACCTGTTTGAGTTTGTAAAATACAGTGCTAATATTTAACCTACCTCAAAACTTGAGGATCTGTGAAATACTGAGTAAGTGCCCAAAATAAAATATTGTTGATTGTCTTTTTATTAAAAGTAAATTTCCTCATGAAACCAACCTGCCTTCTGTAAAGTCACAGTGCATAAAATCTCAGGATTTTCCATTAGGAAAGACCTGTCATTAAGGATTTGTAGGTATAATTGCTTAGCTTCCATTATTGGTGCTTGAGATAGAGAGGTTTTAAATTTTTCTATTTTTGGTTCTGCCTCAACACTCAGTTTATTAAAGACATTTGCAGGCTGTTTCACCGTTGCTAGAATGAGTTTGACTAGATGAGCTCAATCTTAATCATCCATTTCTATGATTTTAGAGTTGCGGTTTGAGAAATGGCTAATTTAAATTGTTCTGTTTATTATAAATGAATGCTGAAGTAAAGTGGAGATAACAAATGCTTCATAAAAGTCTTGGCTAACGTCTGAAATAAACTACCTGTTTCATGTCTAGTTGTTCCTACTTGATAATACAGTTTTGAGAAACATGCCACTTTTGAAAGCTACAGCTGACTAAATTATAGTTCTTGACATTTGGGATAGTAGTGATTGTTGGGTTGTTTTTTATTCACTGGAAGGTGCATATTTGCAGTCTATTTACAAGTTATTTAACCTTGTGCTGCTGACCTAAAAATAAGTCTTAACTATTCATCAAGGCAGGCCTAGTAAGGCCTCTACTTGTTACTACTTCAACATTTGGAATTAGTTGTTCTTTTTACTTGATTTAACAAAACCATACCTCTGAATATTGTAATTTTTACTAAATCAGATATATTCTTAGTCCAAATTAGTGAAGTTTTATGAAAGCTGAAATGTAATCTCAAATTGTGCTCTAAACTCGGTGTTTGGTGAACCAGGCGCAGGTATCCTATAGCAAGAGCACATCTGAGTGGCAACTAAAGCAGTTTCTCTGGTGGCCTTTCACATTCCCCAACATTCACACACATTTCCACTCTTCATTTTCCTTTTCCAACTTCATTTTACTACATCCCCCATCCCGACTTATTTAAGCCCCCTGATGGGTTTCATTAAGGTGTTTGGGGCTGGTGAATTATCAAGCCTTACTATCATTCCCAATAGGTTACAATTAAGGATATATTTTTAATTTTCTGAAACACTATCTTAATCTGGATAATGACTAATTTGAGCCACTGTCCCAACTGCAACTCAGCATACACTGCCAGTCTTCCCCACCACACCTTGTAAAACAGATAAAAGAAGTCTCATTTTGGGATTGTTATAAGAGTAAAAATTACACTGATTTTAATAGTTTCAGTCTTTTCAGTAGGTAGGCCTATGAATTTTATTCTGTAAGTCACTGGTGGTCATAACCATAAATGTATGTTAGTATTTATCAACCAAATAGCATTTGAAAGGAAATAATCTAATTCTTTTAATATACCCTTAAATCTGTTACATTTCTCATCATTTGTGATGCAATAGGACACTTCGCCTGTATTAAAAGGGCCTTTGTTGTTGAACATGTCTATAGAGTTGGCAGTTAATGCTGAAATTTGTCAAATAACCCTTCCAAAATTATACTTGTGAAATATAAAGAAAAATAAATTGATCTACTTAATTTCTATTGATTTAACTTGCAGTTTTTGTCTCATTTAAATGTTACATTGTTTTTCAGTTTTATTTTGTGAAGCTGATCCCTTTAGATTTCAGCTACTATATACAGAAAGAATTATTATAGTCAAATTTTGTTTTAATTTAAATAACTAAGTAATGTGTGTTCATGAGATCCTAGCAATTAACTTTTATATTTGTATAGGCTTTGTGGTTATTGTAACATTAAATGTTTGCAGATTGTGAGTCTTTCATGTCATGTATAAAACACACTAGTACAGTACTGTCAAAGAGATGCTTGAGACAAGGAACTTATATTCTGAAAAGATGTATGTGATATGTATGTTTATTATATGTGCAGAAAATTTAGTGCAGGAAGAAAATACTACATCTCTTAAGAGGTAGAAATAAAGTTCCAGGAAGTCTAGAGGAATGAGTTACTCAACCTGGGGGGATAAATGGGATGAGTGGTATATCAGCGAAGTCTTATAAGTGGCTTTAGGAGATGGGTTGCTGTAGGCATGGGTGGGGGAAAAGGGAAGACACAGACCATTTTACTCGGAGTGCTGTTTTCAAATAGGGAGTTGGGAAAATGTGGACCTGTATAAGGAAGTTTGGTTGGAGAACATGCATGTGAAGGAACTTTTTCTCCCTAATACTGTCCTTTTCCTCCAGCCTTCAACTCAGGTGCTCGGACCAACCTTGATTCCTCAAGCTGGGACCAACATCCAACATACACTGAATTTTCAGTTTCTCTCCACTGCCACCGCCATACCCCAAGCCACTAATATTTCTTACCTGGGCAACTGCTGTAGTTCTAACAACAACACTATGTACTCCTGCTCCCTTGTTCATGCTGCGCCCTTACCCATCCCCTCGCACCACCCTGCTTCCGTTCTTAACATGTAATCCCTTAAAATATTCCAAACTCATTCCTGCTCCCGTTCAACACATGCTTCTTTTCCATTAAACACTTCCCTGGTTCAGAGGTTGGCTGGCTCTTCTGATCTCAGCTCAACTTTTTAACTTCCTTAGAGGGAGATCTAATTCATTATTGTATCCATAGTACCTAGAAACAGCTTATACATATACATACTTAAATGCTTGTTGAACAAATAAAGTAAAATAGAATATTGGGTTGGAAATGTAAGTGGAAAACCAGATTAAGGGTATGGGTACAGAGAGAGAAGGCTTGATTCTCGGTCTCAGCCATGTCTAGCCTCCATTGAGTAGGCCTTTATTTCTGTGAAGGAAGAATGTCAAACAGCTTTGCTCTCAGACACTTCACAACTGAAGCTGGTGTACCTGATCTTCCATGGCAAGGATGTATTAACTGTTGGCTGCCTCTCTGCTCTTGCTTGGGATCATAACCTTGCAAGCCTTCATCTGATTTCCGAGGTTCTTAACTGACCCATTTCCAATACCTAAGACTGATCAATGTATTGTAGGTTCTTTTCTGCATCTATAATAGCTAATGTTTCTAATGACTGTGTATAAATGAAGTTGCCATTTGTTCGAATTACTGTAGGGTAGCCGTATATTAACGATAAAGATCAGAAGCATACTGCAGAGGGCAGCTTTCTGCCAAGCCACACTTGTAAGTTACAGAATACAAATCTTTCATATCTTCCTTAATTCCCAACTAAGTAATAATGATATTATGAGAAGCCCCAATCACTATAGACATACTTGTAAAAATATTTTTTTTCCTAATTGGCAGACAGTTACTACTTATTGTAAGATACCTGCCTTGACAATGTATGAGTTAGGTCTATGGCTCATGTTGCCAGCTGGGGTAATTAAGATGGTCATATATAGTAGTATTCTTACCACGTTTATTTTCTGACAGGTTTATATGTAAACTTCAAAGGACTATTCATTAGCTTGTTTCACACCTTATAAGTCCTGAGTATATTCTGTTACGATATTGCCAGTTAATGGTAGTATGTTCCCATTCCCATGAGAGATGTTCTACAAGAGTGAGAAGCAAAGGGAGGGAAAGGTTTCAGTAAGATGAAGATGGTCTCAAGTGAAGTGTAGCAGAGCAGTGAGAAGAGTGGGACCTGAAGAAAGGGCCAGTAGAT